GCCAACAGTAAGGCGCGATACGGCATTGGCTCTCGGGCACTTCAATTGGGACGGTCCCGCGAGCGTCAAAGCGTGGCATCCCACTCAACAGGCCCTTTCGGGAGCAGCCGCAGAGAAGAGGGGAAAGGGTGGGAGCGAGGAAGCGCCGATCATGCGGATGCTCTTCTGCATCAGTTTGCGTGCACGCTGCACACGTCGGTGGAGGACAAGTACATCCAGTCTCTAATCACTGCGCAGCTGCAAGGCCAGCCCGCACGGCGGCGGGCAAAGGGAGGCAGGGGCAATACCTACAAGAAACGAGGGCGGAAACAAAAAGGGGGTGGGGTGCAGAGAGCAGGCAGTGAGAGCATCACGACAGTCGCACAACGACACCCTTAGCAGGCACATCCAAACCAGCCAACACAGAAGGAATAACGGCGAGTGAAGACGCAACCGGGGCAAAACCCACCCAACAGGCACAGCACGGGGAAGCCGGCAGCGGTCGCCCGTCACAACACACCCACGTCTGTTGCGATCGTGCGCTCTCCTCCCCCCGGGGCACACGGCACGGCAACCACAAACCAACGGCGGCAGAAGCCATAATGCCGGTGTAGAAATGACCTGCACTATCTTGTGACTAGCACCTTTATTTGCAGAGAGTGCAGTTCCAGTTACTCTAGCCGTTTGAGTATCCTTGGTGTTGTAATATGAACGTCGGCGTGAAAGGGTACTCTGGGCGGCTGTAAATAAAATTGAAGCATAGTTAAACGCAAAACACATACAGCTGTTTTTGGGCATGCGATGCTTTCTGCAGGGCTGCATGCATCCACTGCTGTAATTATTATTATAGACTCGTCATCCAGTGTCGAAAGCGCTGCTTCAAAGATGCCGGTGTCTCCTGTTCCTCTCTTTCCCCGTTCTCCTGGTTGATTCCACCCTCCCCTTCGGCAGCAAAGCTCTCCAAGGCACACCTCTGCGCCCCTGTCAATTCCTCCCTCCTTGGGATAACCACCAGCAGGTGGACGTACAGATGGCCGCGCCGACGCTGTTGCTGGCAATGTTGCTGTTTTGGGTTCGCTAAGCCTTCACACGCCTCTAAGTTGTTTTTTTCGGCGGCGTCGCTTTCGCCGTCAAGACAAACGCCCTGACCATCCATGGTCAGCCGTTGCCCATTTCTTACGCACGGGGGTATGCGTAGCGTTTGAGCTCCGTGCAGAGTTGGTACCGACACGACGCCGCCAAGCAGCGCCACAGAAAGCGGAATGGGCAACACCATGTGAAGATCAATTCCATCGCGGTGAAAAAGACGGTGTTCTTGTACCAAAACAGTCACTATGAGATCCCCTGCGTTACCACCGCGCACCCCATCGTGTCCTTTACCCCGAAACCGCCTCACTGTCATCGTTGTTGTGCCCGGACGCACGTCTATAGGAACACTTACGGTATGTCCCCTTATAACACCAGCCCCTCCGCATCTCCCACATTTCGGTGGCGGCGCCACACCTTTTCCACCGCAGTACCCACACGAACGTTCGATATGATACGTGGCACTCGGTAAATGCGTGGAACCACGACCACGGCATTGTGGACATTTACGTGGCCTATTTAAAACCTGCCGACCGTCGCCGCTGCACTGAGAACAAGTGATATCCTTTTCATACACAGCTGACTTTGTGCAGCCAAGGATACTCTCATCAAAGGAGATCCGGAGCATAAAGTTAATGCTGTTCCCGTTCTGTGGGGTGCTGGATTCACGTGGCTGGTATGGGTGTGCGTCCGCTGGGCTGCTGTAAACCCCTGTCGCGGACTGAAACGGTCCCGTAAAGTCACCAAAAGACCGCTGCGCACAGGAAGATAACAGCGACGATGAGGAAAAAGAAAGTGCGTGGTCAACGAATTCAAACGACTGATGCTCAGGGTTGAAGTTTGCCGCTTTCTGACCGCCATCGACATGGACGTGAAGGGTGGCGTCGGGTGAGACGCAGTGGTGACTCGCGTAGCGTGCACGAAACTGGTCATCGGAGAGTAGAGTGTACGCCCGCCGAAGATCGGCAAGCTTCGCCGCATCCTTCGCGTTACGCTGTGGGTCCTTAAGCTTCATTGCCTCCCGCAAGTAGCCCTGACGAAGTTCATCACGCGTACGACGGACGCGCTCCACCTCGCTTTCTTTTCCAAAGCCAAGCAGTGCAAAGAGTGACTCCACCTCGCGATCGTTGCCCCGTTGAATGACATTAAAGTGACGACGAGGAATGGACTGTGCGTGCCGTTGCAAAAGCGGCAATAAAACAGCCGATGCAGACTGCCGCATTGCACTTCTAGCAACCCCTCACTTCTCCCCTTCCACACACACACAAAAAAAAAAAAAAAAAAAAAAAGAAGAGAATAAAAAGCTATTGAATAAAAAACACAAAACGCAAACGAACAAAATTCGAAAGAAAATCAACAAAAATCCCAATGTACCCGCACTCAAACTTTAACATTTACCATCCGTCAGGAAAGACACACATCTGAGAGCATTCATTAGTAACTTATGTGTGAATAGAGACTTCTCCGTATTTCTCTATTCCGGCTTGACACCTCTTTTCTTTCTGCGCCTGCCTTGCCTGTTTTTTCTTCTTCACCGCCACCTCACTTCCCTTTTTTCCATGGCTCCCGCGCCGCAGCACAACACGCCCCCCAACGTTTACACACGCTGTTCCTTCCCTCCTTTTGACTCTGGCCTGCAAAACTCATCCCTCTTCGGCCGGGTCATCTAAATCGTACTCCACCTCGTCCGCCTCCTCCCCCTCCCCATTGGCCAGAGTGTATAAGTCAACGTCCTGCTCGTCCTCTAAGGCTTCAAAAAGATCCCAGTCAGCGTTCTTGAGTGTGCCATCCCACAGCTGCCGGCCCGTTAGTTTTGTGCTCTTCTTTTCGCTCAAAACCCGCTTCTGCAGCTTTTCCGCTATGTGTTTTTCACTCCATTCAGCAAAAAGCTCACGTGTGACGGCAGTTCCGATGCGTACTGTGGGATCTGGCGCGGCCGTAGATACACTGGCAGCGGCTTTTGTCAACGCGTCCCCGCGTCGTTGCAGTTCCGCCTTTTCTTCCATTGCCGCATAATCTGTGAGGTACTCCTGGGCTTTCTGAAGGACAGAAATGACGCTATGCATGCCGATCTGTTCCGCGCAAAGGTCCTCAATCTCCTTGGCAAGAGCCGCCGTCTGCATGCGACGATGTTTGGCAATGTGTTCCAGACGGACAGTGGGGGCAGCCGTTTCTGGGTATCCCTCTGAGTCATACACAATCGTCACGCGCAACTCCGGTGGGTCATCCGCCGTGGCGGTGAGAAGGACGGAGTACGTCGGTGGGTCCACACTAATGAGTTCATACGAGTCGTACATACTCTGCACCGTGTCCATTTCCATGGACTGCATCTCTGTCGCCGGCATGATTTGGATCCCTCCGCCTCCGCTTCCCTCTTCGTGGTTTCGCGTTATGGCCTTGCCGCAGCTGCTATTCCCCCCTGTTTCCGTTTTATTCGATCTTCCTCCTTCACTATTGAAGACAAAAGTATAGTACAAATTTTATATAAATCGAGATGAACAACTCAATTGTGCGGTGCAGTCAATCCGTCACTCCTCTCGCTGTTCGTCTTTTATTCTTTTTTTTTTTTTTGTTGTTGTCTTTTCCCTTTTAGAAGCCAACGATGTACCCACACACCCACCCACGTATTTCTCGAGTTATGTAAAAGAGAAATGGTGCAGGGGGAAAAAAAAAGAGAAATGGAGATAAGATATCCAGGACGCATGGGCGTCATCATCATTACCAGTGATAATATTAGTAATAATGTCAGCAAGCAGAGAGCAAAAAAAAAAAAAAAAAAAAAAAAAAGAAATACACAAACACAGACAGACAGATACAACAGAAAATTCAGTAAAAACAACAACAACGAAAAATGGGAGCAGAAGAAGAACAGACGCCTCTGTCCTGTTCATCGGAGTGTGTGTGTGTGTGTGTGTGTGTTCCCCCCGCCTTCCTCCAAGATGTTTCCTTCCTCCATCTGCCTACTTCATCCTTGCGCGACCCGTAAGCCATGCCTCATCCCACTTATCCCGTTCGTCCAGGTAGTGTTGAAAGCTTCCTTTGGTGGCTGTCACCTCATACTTCAGCTTTGGGTTTCCCACGGGGATCCACAGCATCATGTTCGTCTCCTCGTTACGCGCGTAGACCTTCAGACCACCCTTGATACTTGTCTCTTCCGTATGGGCGTCCATAACAGTGCCAATAAGTCGTACCGGGCGCGGGTTGTAGTCAAAATTGCATGTTATTGGGGCGCCAAGGATCTGCTCCTTTGTGTGTTTCCACGGTTTCATGCGCCCTTGCTTGATTGCCTCCAACGCCAGCGATCGCTGAATACGGGCGATGGGGAGCCGTGAAAAAAAGGCATTTGCCCGCGCGACAAAAAAGTGACGGTGGGTGCGCTCACGTGTGTAGCCCATCCGGCTTCTCGGCCTGTGGCTTTGAAGCGATTGGCCCTGCTGCTGTCAACGAAAACCTGTGCACCAAAAAGGTATGTGCATACAACAATAGAGGGAGAGAGAGAGAGAGGTAAAAAAAAAATAAAAATAAAAATAAAAACAATCTGCACGCGCTGAGTAGCAGCAACAGCAGATGCAGAGAGAGACACACAAACAACATCTACTAAACATGCATCCGGAGAATGAGTTACAACAACCGAGCAGTCAAACTCCACTTCAGCAAAAAAAGGAAGAAAAGGCCAAAAGAGGGTAAAGACAATGTGTCCAAGAAATACGCCCAGTTGAAGCCCAAAAACAACGCACACACGGACACAAAGACGGAGAAGAAAATCATGACAATTTCTTGTGGGGAAGCGGAAAACCCTCAACAAAAATCTAAAAAAAAAAAGAAAAAAAATGGACGGGCAACAAAATTTGGGAATAATTTTCGCTACAACTGAAACAAACGTGAGGCCGTGTAGTGTCCATTGACACGCCGGTCGTGGTCAAATTCTCCTTCCCAGACGTCACCATTGGCAAATATCAATTTCCCTCTTCCGTGCGCCGTACCGTACTCCCAGAACCCCTCATATGTGTATGCGTCTTGCTCCACGTACCGTCCTTCCCCATGAAAGAGCCCCTTGTAAAACTGTCCAATGTACACATTTCCATTGGCAAAACGATATGTACCACGACCCTGCAGCCGGCCGTTTTGAAAATTCCCCACGTACTCTTGACCCTCTGCGGCAAAGCGGTAGGTTCCAGCCCCATTTGGTTGATAATTCTCAACTTCACCAACATACACGTCGCCGTTTTCAAACCGAATACGGCACCTTCCAGAGCCATTATTAAATTTCTTGGAATGTGCTGACGTCTGCTGCCTGTTGTTGTTGTTGTTGTTTTCGTTACTGTTTTCATCTCTTATCCACTCCACGTGATCACCTGACGCAAGCGTGACGGCTCCAGAAGCCACAACAGTCCCATTTTTCTTAACACTCCCAGCAAAAACGCCATTGCAGTCAATTTCAACGACGGCATTTCCGTCAAGAACGCCCTGTTTGAACTCCCCTTTTCCCTTTAACCGCCTGGTTTGAAATGTCGCACTGCCCTCAAGCACATCATCACGCCATGTTCCCTCCACAGCAACGTGCGGGAGGGAGAGAGCCCCACTGCCGTTCCTCTTGTCGCCGGACCACTCACCGTCAAAGAAATGCTTCTGCGCGGTGTCGTAGAAAAGGGTGCCACGTCCTTGACGTTGTAAGAAAACTGGCGTCTTGCATCCTCCACCCGTCACATCCCCAACATAAACGAGGGATGGACTGTATGTGATGCGCTCACGTCGCTGTTGCTTTTGTTCTTTTTGGCGCTTTTGTTGAAGAAAATCCTGACGTTCCTTGGAATTGCGGCTTTTGCGAGTTTCTTCCCTCCCCGAAACGCCATGCCGGTTATTGTTGTTGTTGTTGTCCTCCTCCGTGTCCTCGTCGCTTTCCTCGAGAAGGCGAAGATCGATAATTCGCTCCTCCTTTGGAGTTGTGGTGTGGTTTTTAACCGCTTTCCCCAAAAGAGATTCCGCGATGGCATCCTCAAAGGATAATACACGTTGACGCTCTTCCTGCGCCTGTTGCTCCAGCCGCGACTTGTTCTCGAAAAAGTTATCTAATTGTGCTGCCAGCTCCCGCTGCATCGCCTCCTCTTCGACCTTTGCCAGGAGTTCACGTTGGCGCTCAAGGACCCGCTTCTGCAACTCTAGCCGTTGCTGCTCCAGCCTTTTCCTCTCGGCCGCTAGCCTCGTGCGTTCCTCCTCCTCACGTCGCTGCGCCTCTTGAAGACGAGCCACCTGTTCGAGTGCGAGGCGTTCCTTTTGCAGCGCCGCTGCCTTCTCCCGCTGCAACTCCTCATGGGCCTCTAGAAACAGACGCCGCCTTTCATCATAGACATCTCTTTCAAGAGAATTATGCTGCTTCTCCTGCTGGCATTGCACAGATTCTTCTAAATTACCGACTTCTTTTGCAGGCTGGCCACCCTTTTTAAATTCACTCCCTTTTGAGGCTGCCACGCATTCCGATATCTGTGAAGGTATTTTATTGTCCAAAGAAGACGTCATCTTTGTGGTCGCCGTGCTCGGACCGGAAAAAGCAGGACACCCGTGATTCACGCGGCTTCCTTCAGCTTCTCCGTAGGAGGAAGTGACTGGATCATGACCGCCATGCTCCTTTTGTTGTTGCTGTTGCGCCCGCTTGGCGCGCCACACCGCCAATCTCTCGCGCACCGGCGAAGCGCTCACTTTGCCGTTGCCGTCGCTATTCTCGTTATTGAGGATTTCAGCAACTGACCCAGTGGGTGTTTTTTTTTGAACCGTCTCTATCGGCTTTTGCGTCTCTGCTTGACTCATCGCCTTCTCGATGCTCTGCCGCATGACGGCGCGGCGAACCGCAGCCGCTTCGTGACTCTTTTCATCCGTCGTCCCAAATTTCACGTGCTTCTGCGCTGCTGAGGCCGATTCGACGGAGCCGACGGTCCGCATGACTTCCTCCGCGCCACCGCCTGCCTCTGTGCCGTCGGATGCGAGGGACGGCAGCACCCACAACGACCTCCCGCTTGCGTCGTTGTGAAAATACACCGTGTTGTTGTGCTCCCTCGACACGCAGTAGCTCCACACGTGCTGCGGCGGTGGGTCTGGCAGCATCTCCTCTGGGGCGTATAAATCTCTAGGACCCCGAGCAAAGTGTCGGTACCGCGTCTTTTGGCCCACGAGTATCACCTCCGGTACTGTCATCGACATCGTTGATGGTGCGTTCCCTTTCCTGCTGCACAACACCGCGGAACACGCAGCCCCACTCGTCGCCGCGTAAAAAAAAAACACACGCAAACACAAAAGAAAAAAAAAAAAAAAATAAAAAGAGAGGAATAAAACACGCCATAAAGAATAATAAAGGAAAAGCAAACAAACAAACAAAATGAGCAGACGGCAGAAATGCATTTAAATAAGAAAAAACGTGAGAAGATATAGTGGGAAAATTTAACTAAAAACAACAACAACAAAACCTCCCACCCACCCACCCTCTCACATTTGAGCTCGGTACTCATCCATCCGTGACTGACAGCAAGGGCATTTACACACACACACACACACACACACACACACAGGTGCCTCTTTCTGTTGTTTCTTTCCCTTCGCCCTCAATGAATGTATGAAAAAACAACAACACACAAACAGTCAACGGAAAAACACGCCACTTATGCGGGTCCATGTCGCTTTGAGGCCCAACGTACCACCTTCGTCCCAAGAAGTTTTCGGTATGTACTCGGAAAGTCAGGGGCACCAGACTTAATATCCATCTTCGCAAACATGCCGGAAAACTTCCGCACAAATCGTTCGCGCTCCAATGCTCGCGCTGCCTCTGGTTGCTCCATCTTAAACTTTGCCAAACGTTCATAGTACAACGCTTGATGCGAAAGCTGCTTCTTCTCATTTTCCTGTAAAGGTCTCGTGTACGAAAGACCGAGGTCACGGGCAACTTCAGAGCGGGAGCGACCCGTTTCGACGCAGCCGTTGAGTCCACGAGGGTCAAGAACATCTGCGAGGTTCGTGGAGATGGCTAAGCCTGCATTCCAGTCATATTTCCAGTAGGCACCTTGCCGGTACGTAACCAAATTGGAGGGCTGAAGAACATCCTGTACATCATGATCACGGATGATTTCCCAATACTTCTTAAAGTCTACTTTTCGCAGTTTGCGAAAGTGCATGGCTCAGTTTTTTTTCTGTGTTCGCTAGTACAGCCTTGATGATATTATTATGGGGATTCGTTAGCAGGTGGTTGCGCAGCACACGGCACTTAAGGGCGCGCTTCACCGCCAAAACCGCGGGGCTTGTCGTGTCAAAGTCGTGTTCTGCATATCGCTCCATGTACATGGCCTCCTGCGCAAATTGCTTTTCCTGAATCGACATCATTTCCTTTGAGAGGGCCTTTTTCATTTCCTCACCATAGCCCTCCAACATCTCATCCGGGATGCTAAAACGATTCCCGTACGCGTGTCTTCGCGTGGGATATTTTTTGTACCAAAACGGAAAACCCTTCGGCTGGCCGTCAAGCTGACGTAATGCAGATGCAAGGAGAGGGTGCTCCTGCTCAAACTTCATCTGTCTTGTTTCTGGAATGTTTATGCCGTACAACATCTGTTCTTGCCGCTTCTTCTGCACCGGCGTTAAATCCGTGAACACGGCGCCGTGGAGGTTTTTGAGTGCACGCCGCTGTGGCATGCCTGGCGTGGGCGGCTCTGGGTTCATGCGCCACGGGTACCAAAGCCAAATGGAAGGGTGCTCCATCTCACCAATTGCCTTCTTCAGGGCACTGTGGCTGCGCCGACGCAGTTTGCCGCGTCCTTTTACCACTTCTCCATCAACGGTCTGAATGGCGATCTTCTCCGCTTTCTTGAAATTCCTGGTCTTCGAGAAACTTGTCTTCAGGTCCGGCGCCTTTGATTTTTGGCGATATTTCCGCAAAAGGAAGGCCGTCCGCCCAAACATCACAGCTCAGCCTCTCGTTGTGCCTTTGATAATAATAATAATAATAATAATTGACGTCTACCCCCCTTCCCCTGCTTTTTTTTTTTTTTTTTTCCTTTTTCGTTCCACGCTCGTTACCGCTCCGTTTTGCTACCGCTGAGGATGTAAACTTGTGAAAAGAGCAGCCTGACTGCCGCCTCCTATTGCCGTTTCCACGCGCCAAGAAAAGAAAAGGAAAAAGGAAGAATGTATCGCCCCTTTTCATGAAAGCAACAATATGTGAGTCCAAGGCAACAACAGCAACAACAAGAAAAACCAAAGATGATGAAAGGAAGTAAACATATAATAATCGATGGGGCGTGTTAGCATGTGGATTTATTCCGTTCTCGCAACATTGTCGAGCTCACATCCACACAAAAGTCTTCTTTTCGAATGGAAATGAGCATTGACTCCACTTCCGCTGGCACCTCAATGCTTGTCAAGTCCTCCCACACCGCGTCCTTTCCACCTGAAGCACGGCCAGCAACCACAAAGTAACCGCCTTGCTCTCGAATAAATTCCATTGCACGTAGCATTGCTTCCCTTGAATTGTCATAATACTTTGGATCAAGAATACGCTTCATAGTGTCTATCCCCACGATAAATCCATGTCCCGGAAACAACAGAGCCTTCTCTGTGAAGAGACGAGCCCTTGTCACAGCCACACGCGCCCCACGCTGTAAAAATTGTTGTACCCTTTTCTTAAGCTCCACATCAGAGTCTATAATTCCTTTGTCTGCATTGTCCACCGCAATCTCATACGTCACCTGGACATTGCTGGCATCGGGCACATTCCAAGACGGCGATGATGTGTCTGTGCTTGTGCTATTTAATGTCCCTTTCATGGTTGCCATCGCTCGCACTGCCGCTCTCGCCAGCTCTGTATGACCCCAATGCAACGGACGAAATGAACCGGGAAACAATAAAGCTTTCCATGAATTTTCAGGTTTTACCGCAAAAGACGTCTCTGCCACGTATGGCACAAAATTCGCACGCAGCTCCCCATAAGTATTGAAAACAAGAAACTTCATCTCGCCCTGAAGGAGGCGTCGTAGCGGAGAGTCTGGCACAATGTAGGAAATCCTCTTCGGCTCCACCACAAACGATATTTCAAATGGCACTTTTGCACACTCTGCCAGGGCTTTGAACAGAAGCAATGTCACCTGTTCCTCCTGCTCGGCGCGTGCGAGATGCCCCGGCAGTTCCATGGCAAACTCCACCACCTGCCGCTGAGACCACGCTGCCACAAAGGCGCTATCTTTACCGTGTCTTATGCGATTTGTTTGCACAGCGGAGGTGGATCCAATGCCAACAAGCGTTCCGTCGTCATCACCATTACTGTACTCAACCGCGCGGTGATGTGCATGTTGGGCCATCTGGCGCGCCACTGTCGCTGAAACCATCTTTGGTGGCTGGTCATCCAACATCTGCAAGGCGGCGGCCATCGCGTAAGGCACACGAGCATCAAGAAGAGTACGTGAGCATCCCGCGACACTAGTGAGTTGGGCGATGGCGGAACTCCCGGCTCCCATGACATACAACACGCACCGCAGCGGTGAGGCGTGAATGGCCTCAATAAAGCCATGTGGAGGAATTGCCATTGCTGCTGTCAAAACAGTCAAGAGCAGAAAAGCAGAAAAGAGACAAAAAAACAAAGATGCCCCCCCCCCCCCCCCAAAAAAAAAAAAAGAGTAGAAGAAGTGGGCGTGTTTAGTCAGCAAGCAGATCACCCGCCATTTGCCTCCGTTTTCGTTTTTCTTTTCTTTCTTGGCATCTTTGCATTTTTAACCGAGATGTATCCAAATGGAACACGTTTTGGGGTCCCACAAGCCCAAAACAACACTGCGAGAAAAGGAAAAGAAAGAAACAAAAATATAAGTTCTGACGGCCTTATATCACAAACACACAAGACGCAAACTCTCTCAGTTCGTGCTGTGCTCTGCCGGAAAGGCACGCCTTGTGTACAGGACTTTCATGTCTACTCCTGCCATACGACACTGCGGGCACTGAAATGGCGTACCCGTCGCATCCGGCCGTGGGAGCATCAGCGGCAAGAAGCAGTTCGCACAGACACACTGAGGCAAAGACACCATTCGACCAGTATCCGTGCTTGTCTGCTGCTGCTGCTGCTGCTGCTGTGCTGGCAGCCTGTTTATCATCGCTAAATACACCTAAAGTAGAAACACAAAAAGAAAAAGAAGGAATAAAGCCAAAGTGAAAACAAACAACCAACGACAAATAATAGAAACAAATCGTTGTGCAAGGTCAGCCAGAGAAAAATCGATGTGTGGGAGAGTGACTGCCTGTCTGCAAGAAGGGATAGGGACACGAATAACATCTTTACGGTACGAAAACAACAACAACAACAAAACAACGCACAAACGCACACATACACAAAAGAAAACAAAAAAGGAGCAAAATAATTCAGGAAATATATCCCAAAATATCGTCACAATCTTCCTTCATTCCCTTTTTTTAAATTGTGTCGTATGTCGTGGGCTGTGTGCGTAGCTTGTAAAAAACAGTGGACGAGCCCGTGCGATGTACGCAGTGAGTACACATGAGCTGCGACGACTGAGTGAGGGCCACAACACGGGTGCAGTTGGCACAGGTATAAAGTGTCATACTTTCACGCACGTTTTCTGTGGTATCGCCAATACCGGTTTCCTCCAAAGACTTGACATCCTTCTGTTCCTCCTTGACTGCAAACGAGAGCATGAAGGTGACCGGCTGTTGTGTAAAAGCCTTTCCTTACGCAATCCTGCTGCCGCAGCCCCCCTCCGCTCCACCAAAAAACAAAAGGAGAGAGAGAGAGATGCTTACATTATAAATATATACACACACACTTTACACACGTGCACAAGCAAGAAACAAAACAAAACAAAAAAAGCGAAAAGTAAAAGAATTGCAGTGAAGGAAAAAAAGAAGAATACGCATGGACCGTTACACATGTACATAAAACACTTCTTCAAAACATTCAATGTCACTTTCCCTGGGTGATCGACACCGCATGTATTAATAATCACCGTCAACGACAATAGCTTTTTACTTCTTTCTTTCTTTTTTTATTTTTTTTTTATTTTTTTTTCGGTTGCCATATTTTGTGTTTTGTTTTCTTGACGTTCCTCTTCTCAATAATGAAAAAGAAAAAAAAAAAGGAAAAAGAAAAAGACGTCAGCATGGCTCTGATGTTTGGGTGGATGACGCCATTGGAGAGGGCTGCTTTGGCTTCTTCTCTTTCCTTCTATTCTTTCCTGGGAGTCTCATTTGAGATTCCAGGGCAGGCCATACCTCCACATGCTTTTTCACCATTGTTCCATACAGCTGCTTGGCGTAGCTATGCAGTCGCTCCATGAGAAGGCCTTTCAACAGTAAATTAAGCGTTTTGGTGTCTCCCTTCACACGACGCTTTTGCATATCCGCGAGTATGGCGG